TGTACCCTCGTGGCTTGAATGTGGCCGGATTTGAGGTGTGCTGTGCTCTCGGGTGGCATGGAGACGGCTTAATACGGGAGGATCCGGTAGCGAGGTTGATATATGCAAGATTAAGTTGTACATATGTCGTGTGATAAGGAATCCCCAGCTGGGACTTGAATCAATTCGAATTGCTGGTGCTCCGCGGATATGGAGACTCGATTCATTATAGAAGCAATGCAGGACTGGTGAATTACTAAAATTTGAGAAAAGGAATGGAATGAGAAGGATTGGAACATGGGATATAAACACTTAGTTTGAGATATTGAACTAAAGTAAGGGGTAAAACTTAAAACTAGGATCAAGAATAGTACGCTTTTGGCAAAGAACTTTTGAATCTTTCTACATCCTTACCTTGACCCAACACCCGCATCCCTAAGACATTCACCCTTTTTCGTCAGGTCAGTCTTGTTGAGTACTTTTTGTACTCAGGGTTTGTTAACCCTTGTTGCAGGTGAGTCGCATGCGCAGGCTTGTTTTGGTCCCTGCTGCATGTCAGTGTATGAAGTCGATGATGATGAGGAATGATGAATGGCCTTTGGACAAGGCACTAGTTTGTGTGAAATAAATAATGTTAATGTAATATTATCTCGCTACTATGGTTGTATGACACTTATGGTTATGTAAGTTTGAAACAACTGGTTTGTAATATTAAACTTAAGTCTTCCGCTTATTTACCTCTGGTATGTATATTGAAAAATGTTGTAATCTGCAATGACTGTGATTGGGATCCTGTTTGAAACGTGGATGATTCGGGTTTACCGAGGACACCCGACAGACCTGTTAAGTTGTTGGGAACTTGTGTATGCTATCTGAGGTCTGTTGAGACATCGATAGGTGCACGTGGGCCTGGTTTCTTAGGAGGTTCTGCCACAGTGTTATGAGGCAACGGGCAGGTGAACTAACTAACGAAGTTCATACCCGGTTTGAAGGTGGTTGACGACATCTATAGACCACTAAAGTAATACTGCGATTATAATCTGGCAGTACATGATGCTCACAACATAAGTTAAGTGGTGCTGCCAAACACGTTGATATAGAGTATTATGTTGTGAAAGATAAAGTCTAGGATCAAGTCATAAGTCTTGAGCATATAAGTACAGAAAAGATGCTCGCGGATCCGCTTATAAAAGACTTACCACCCAACGTGTTCAGAGAACATGGTGTTCAGAGAACATATAGCTAGCATGGGTTTAAGGGAAAGCCTATAAAATTCCTGAACAAAAGAAGGCCCAAATGTAAGTATCTATTTCAGAACAGAGTAGTAAGTTGTAGCTGTTATGTCTATCGGCAATGGACCGTGACGATGAGACATGCTCTATGAGCTAATCTGTAATTGAATGAACAAAAGTAAATGATATGAAAATGAAAGATGGAATGAGATCAAGGGGGAGAATATTAGTTGATCTCTACCAATAGGCCCAACGGCCTATTGGGTCCTTGCCTCTGCTCCCTGATCGAGGGAGCCCAACCCTAACTGGTTGGTGGGCCCCTGTCGCACAGCACATACAAATAGAGAAGGTGGGGATCGGGGCTCGGGTAACGAGGTTGAACGGAGCCACCACACCCACATACAAAGAAACCCTAATCCGATCCTAAAGAGATGTTGCCAGCGACGGGATGAGCCCCCAACCACCGCCGTCGACCCACTGCAGGGTCACCACCGGACCGCTGTCTCTCCACCAGCGCCACTGGACTTCACCGCCACCGCGCTGGACGTCTTCTACACTGCGGCACCGGCGTCTACCCGCTACGGTGCATCTACTGAGAAGGCGAGGAGTCTACCCGGATCTACGGGTTACACAGTGAGGTACACTCATCGATCCTAACACTGAGCTCTAGCCTTAGCTACTTCCCTATCCTCATCCTATAGCTGCTGACTTCTAACAACAGAGATACTTTACCTATAACTACATTTCCCTTTTAAGTTTTTGCCCCCATTTTCTACATATAGGCTTTCGTTTGTCTTGTCAAAACATTGGATCTCTTTTATGCCTGCAGCGTTTTGACTTAACCTATTCTTTTCTCTCTAAAAGAGCTCGAGGAAGAAAATGAAGATGGAGGGCCTGTTGGCTTGAACTTATCAGCCAGCTTATCAGCTAGAATCTACAGTATTTTTCTCTCACAACAAAATAGTTTCCATCCTATGATGTGATTTGACATCCACACCTGACCCTCATTCGCGGGTCTAGACCCGGTGACACCCATGGGTGTGATTTGGCACCTACGCCCGCATCCTAGCGGGTGCAGTGCTCGTGGGTCCAACAACCATCCCAACTAGTATACCACAAAGGACGAATGTCATGCATGTTGTTCACAAGTTCGTACTCCCTCCATCCAAAAATGAATGCAGATATAGGTTTGGGATAACTCAAACTTTCTTTAAGTTTGATCAAATTTATAAAAAAAAGTCTATAAGTTTGATCAAATTTATAAAAAGTACTATCAATATTTATATTTGTAAATACATTTCAACGATATTTATTTGGCATCATAAATATTAATACTCTTTTTTCTATAAACTTGGTCAAAGTAGAATTTATTGACTCTTTATGAAATGAGAGCTGCATTTTGTTTAAGGAGGAAGTATTAAATATCTAATTTATAATATTCTCTTTGTCCCGGTGAAAAAAATGCAATTCTAATTTTCTATTAAGTTACAAATATATATATAAATATATTATCTACATACTAAATATTATGGTCAGTGAAATGTTTTTTTAATAATATCTCTTTGAAGTCATAAATATCAATAGTCTATAAACTTAGCTAAGTTCAAGAAGACTTGACTTAATTCAAATTTAGAACTGTATTCCGACGGATGTATAGTAATTCAAAATAAGAAACTTCTCTTTATTCATGGCAGAACATATTCTGGTCCCTGGGCCTGATCTGACTCTAATTTATACTATACGCTGAACCTAATCAAGGACCAAGATAGAGACAACAAGAGTCCGAGACCATACAGAATGCTCAGGTCTAAATCTAGACCCTCAAAACCACTACCAGAACGACAGATATAATGGGACAAAAGGAGTAGTTATTTCCATGCTATGCAATGTGCCAATGTGGCATTGAAGGGTGCCAGCGAAGGACCAATGTTTCTAACTTTCTGATTTAGAATTTTGAGTAAAAATTTACATGTTGTTCTTGAACTTAGTGGGGGTTTATCCAAAATGCCATTTCTTAGGGGGTACCATTTCCGAGTGTCATCTAAACCTTAGATCTAAGAAATGTGATTTTCATGTCCCTAAACTTAGCTTCAAATGTCATCCAAGTCCAAATGCAGAATACCGACCAACTCCCTGTGTTGACGTGGCATGCTAACTGTCTATTGATGTAGACTAGTCATGTAGGGTTTGTATGTCAATATTCAGATCCATCACCCTTCTCTCTCCTTCGTCTCTCCTCTTTCTTTGTCTCTTGTATCATCTCCTACCCACTGTGCTTGGTGCGCCTCTTTTTCTTCCTTGCCATCGTGCACTCCTTCCTATCCATGCCCTTGCACCGCCCTGAAGTAGGCTAGTGGCAACAACAGAAAGTCAGACCCTCGTACACCATCAGAGGGGGAGAGGGGAGGTGGACCCTTATGTTAGTCCACGTCAAGGCACAATCAGTATCCTCATTGCCGCATCAGTGTTCGAGAGTGTTCGATGGTGCACACAACAGTAGATTTCGGCTGGTTATAGATGGTTGAATAATATTCTGTGAGAGAGAATAAGCTGAAACAAGCTAGGACTATACCAGCCGAACGCGGGTAAGGATATGTTTGAACTCGGATGACACCTAGAATTTAGTTTAGGGATCCGAAATGTCATTTCTTAAGTTAAAGCAACTCTAGCCTCATCCTATTTATGAGCGTTGGAGGGAAAAAAAATCCACCCTAGTAGGGTCCATACAGACCCCCAAAAGTAGATCAAGGCCTCATTTTATGCACGCGGAGGGGAGAGCGTTGTCTCCCAAGGCCCCTACTTTTCTGTTTCTTTCTTTTCCTAACCACTCATGGGCTCTGCTCGCGTCTATCTCTCGTGCACTGCCTCCACAGTCGCTGGCTTTGATTCTGGCTGCCGGATCTGCTACTACTAATGAAGTGATGATGCTCTTAGGGGGTCTAGATGACACCTGGAATCAAGTTTAGGATCCGAAAATGGAATTTCTTCAGCTGAGGGACCGGGATGACTGAATTTTACTCTCTGGAATCCTTGAGACGATTCATACCATTAGCCATGGGACTGGGCACTGGCCATCGCCAGTCAGGGTTTACGGTTTCACAAGGAGCACGCAGCTTCCTGTCTTTGCTTGTTGTTCGTTGCTTCTCCATAAGCAGCAGTGGTACCAAACTACGAATGCTCGGCCTCGTTCACATCGTAAAAACTATTAAAAAACTGATCGGCATGATCGCTGGTCAATTCAGTCGATCTATCACTCGATCAGAACATTTCCAGACGTGACGTGGGTACCCAGTTTTCATAAGATTCCACCCGGTTTTGTGCTGATTGTCTCCGCCGTGCAACGACAAGGCCAAGGTATACGTAGTTGCGGACTTGTAGCGCGGTGCCCTCCCATGCGCCATTTCTCTTGAAGGCTGCAGCTCAAGTTATGATGTACTCTTATGGAAGGAACTCCACCGCTTAAGCAATCTGCTGACGAACTCGTTGTTGCCGAGCGCGAGCCCGAGCTGTATCACCGAACTGCATGCTACAAGCACCTGTATTATTATCGTGTCACGCGCCGCTCTTGCTAGCTAGTTAGTAGGCCAGTGGGCAGAGCGTCTGCAATTTTGGACTCGGTTTCTGCAATCTCGCCACAAATCTTGCAAGCCCTTGCGTCGCATGCACCCCATCCCCAATCCCCCATCCTCATTCAGACGATGAGCTCTGCTCTATAAATCAAGGACGATAGATGAAGGAAACTGCTCGCCAGTAGGAAGGCAACAAGAACGTCGACGTGTTTGATGCATCATGGCTCGCTTCAACGCTTATTCCCTAGTGCTGTTGCTCTTTTGCTACGTTTCGTCAGGTGCAGCTGAAGCGGCGTACAATGTCGCCGGGTTCGGAGCGAAGCCTGGCGGCCGGACGGACTCGTCCGGCGCGTTCGCCAGTGCCTGGTCCGCAGCTTGCCGGTCGCAGGAGCCGGCGACCGTGTACGTGCCGAACGGGCACTTCCTGCTCAGCCGTGCGGCCTTCACTGGCCCATGCTCCAGCAGGGTGACGCTTCAGGTCGATGGTACGCTTGTTGCGCCATCAGGCTACACCAGCCGTGGCGGAGGCGGGGACGACGACGGCTGGATCGTGTTCGACCACGTCGACGGCCTCACTGTGTCGGGCGGCACCGTCGACGGCCGCGGCGAGGCGCTGTGGGCGTGCAAGGCAGCCGGGCACGGCGGCTGCCCCAGTGGAGCAACAGTGAGTTGGCATATAACACATCACATGCATCTTTATTTTTTCTTCAGAAATTTACGTTCAAGTGCTGAAGTGCAAACATGACACCACAAATATGAAGTTTTCCTCTTGACTCGGTGCGTCGCCAGTCGCTGAAGGTGCTGAACTCGAGGAACGTGGTGATCAGCGGCCTGACCTCGGTCGACAGCGAGCTGTACCACGTCGTGATCGACGGCTGCAAGGGCCTCACGGTGCAGGACGTACAGATCGTCGCGCCGGGAAGCAGCCCCAACACGGACGGGATCCACGTGCAGGCCTCGTCCCAGGTCACGGTCACCCGGACAAGCATCCAGACCGGGGACGACTGCGTCTCCGTCGGCCCCGGCACCACCAACCTGCGCGTGGAGCACGTCAGCTGCGGCCCGGGCCATGGCATCAGGTTCCTAGTAGACGACTGAGCGCACTCTTCGCACACAGCACACACTGTCGTCGTCGTCACTTGTGTGATGGTTCGCTTCCGGTGGCGTCCAGCATAGGGAGCCTGGGGAAGCAGAGCGAGGAGAGCGGCGTGGAGAACGTGACGGTGACGGGGGCCGCCTTCGTCGGCACCGAGAACGGGCTGCGGATCAAGACGTGGGCGCGGGCCAAGGTGGAGGGCGCGTACGTGCGCGGCGTCGTCTTCGAGCACGCGCTTATGCACGACGTGCGCAACCCCATCATCATCGACCAGACCTACTGCCCCAACCACGGCGGCGGCGCGGGCTGCCCCCATCAGGTTCGCGCGCGCGTGCGGCACAGACATGCATGTACACCAAAACATTTCGATCGAGCAGCTCGCAGGCATGACTCGTATATATAGCTCTGCTTAGAATTCTGTTTTGCTTGCGTGCGCGGTGCAGAGCTCGGCCGTGAAGATCAGCGACGTGAGGTACACGGACATCCAGGGGACGTCGGCGTCGAAGGTGGCGGTGAAGTTCGACTGCAGCGCGAGCAACCCGTGCAGCGGGATCGGCCTCAAGGACATCAAGCTCACCTTGGACAGCGGAAAGCCGGCAGAGGCGACCTGCCAGCACGCGGACGGCAGGGCTTCCGGCGAAGTCGAGCCTCCAAGTTGCCTGTAGCGCGTTACAAATTAAGGGCTCGTTTGGTTAATTCCTAATCCAAAGGGATCATCCTGATCCGTTTGGACTGGGCATTAACCGACCAAGCACTAAATGGTGCGGCGTGGACACTTGATTATGTGCTCTATTCTGCTGTACTAACAGTTGGTCCGTGTTCAACTGTGTAGCTAACATTAGGTCGTCAGTGGGAGAATAGAACCAATAATCTCAACTAGCCCATTGGCCCATACCATCTTCAATCTACTCTTGTATCTTAGTATAATTGAAAAAAAAAAGAAATCCGTTAACAGCCAAAAAATGATCAGGGAGTTGAAGATGGAACAAGAAAATCACATGCAAACAAAGAGGATCAAATCCGATAGCAAAATATGAGCAAAAGGGCTAATCCTAAAAAATTGCAGCAGAAATAAACTTAGCCAGGTTTCCATACCGGTTAAGCCGTCTTTACTTTGTCAAAATGAGTAATGGACTCCACCATTACGTTCCTATCACCAAGACTATCAAAAAGCATATATATATATATATATATCATTCAGTTTGGAGTCTAGATGAAGAAAATGCGACTTTGGGAAAATCATCCATCAAAACATGCTTAGTCGGTTCTCTGAACCGGCTAAGCTAGTCTTGTACACTTCCTCAAATTGAAGAATGAACTTCATCATTGCGTTCCTATCGTCGAGACGATAAAAAAAAAACACATATATAGATCATCCAATGTAGATTTTGAATGAAGAAATTACGCTCTCCAGAAGTGTTTCTACCACACGAGCCGATAACAATTCGGTAGCCCCACATGTATCTTTTGCTTATCACCTAATCATCTAATCTTTCATTAAGCACTTGTCGTAGCTAGAGCACTTAGATGAGAGCCTCAACTCCCCCACAACTTCAGGACCCTCTAACACACTTGAAATGGCCGGACATAGATGTATATATAGCATCAAGCCCCAAATATAGTTGTTGATGGCGAGCTACAGCTCTTGCAGTAGCACGGGAGTTTCCAATGCCCCCCACCAGAGCCTTGTTGATGCCACGTCGACTAGCTGTTGACAACCGTTGGAGTGTCCTTTCTCCGGTGCCCTCTAAAATCTTCTGCAAAGCTTCTAGAAGCCACCCTTCTCTTCGGTGCTTGGTCCTTGGTATCACCAGAGTTATCCGGTGAATGAAGGTATTGGTTCTTCATATGCACCAGAGTTATCCGGTGACTAGTGAACTCTTCTGCACAATCACTGCCAGAGCCTATCCTCCAGTGCTCTATAGAGAGCACCACCGGAGATTTCTGATGGGTGATTTGCAGCCTTTGTTCATCTTCTTGATGTCTTGGACTTCTTACATGTATTCTATGATCTTGAACGGTGCTCCTTAGTCTTTTCTTGAGGTGTTGATCACTTAATTTTCACATGCTTTTGTCCAAGCCATCCTTGCATCCAAATGAACTAAAACCTTGTATACTAGTAAACCACATTAGTCCATTTAATCATGTTATCAATCAGCCACCAAAGTCATATATAACTCTTGCTAGGTGTCATTTTCTTTATAATCTCCCTAAGAGAGTGAAATAATTTTTGTTCCCTTTCTCTCAACTCTAGCATGGCTGGATCCACTAGGGATGCTCCTGTCAGTAACTTCTACTCAGTTTGCTATCGATGCATTTGTACCCTCGCCTAAATCGAAGACTCTATTTAAATTTTAAAATGCGCATATCTATGCTATGCAATATGCTCATCTAAAACCCTTTCAACTATATATAATACTTCCTCTCTCCAAAATAAGTTAACTTTAAAGCTATGTCAAACTATTTTAAGTTTGATCAACTCTATAAGGGAAAGTATCAATATCCGTGACACCAAAGGACACTGTAAAATTATATTTCAAGGAGTCTAATAACAAATATTTTGTATCATAAATATTACTACTTTTTTTAAAAAAAAATGGTCAAATTTAATATAGCGTGACTTAAGACAACCATAGAAATTGATTTAACTGGAATGGGGAGCAAGTGTACGAAACGAACTTAGTACATGCATTGTACACATTGGATATAGTCTTGATTTTCAAAGGTTTATGCACATACATTTCGCTGACGCTATTTACTAAACGACAACGCAACCAAAACTCCTTACAAACAACTGATGGTTCTACGTGCACGCACACGCAAACCACTAGTTTTTTTTTCAAGTAGCAAAGAGTTGGGATCCCTGAAAACAGCACGGCAAGGCAGAGCTCATAGCCTCCCTCATACACCCTTAGAGCCAGGGAGGTCGACCCACTGAAGCTGGAGCTCTATTTCCCCGCACTCTACGTTCCTTAGCCGGACAACCAGGTCTTGCTTCACCTTCCCCTCCGATATATATATCGAGCTCTCCTCGGCTAGGCAGTTCTGTCTGTTGGGCACCAGTTTCTTTACTATGGTTTTGTCGGCAACATCCCGGAGTTTCATCTTCACAACCTCGACTAATGGGCGGATGTCCACCTCTGCATTACCCATTGTATCATCAACGAAAGTGTCCTTGTCATAAACTTCCTGAAAATGAGAAAGAGTTACTTGTCAATATGAGCATTTCGCTCTTTTAGAGATTTGGAAAATGAAGTCGTGGTGTCTATAATCACTAGGCTATAAAATAGCCAGTTGGCACATCTTCTGAAAGGACATGCAAGCAGTGTTTCAACTATGAAAGTTCAGGGACAGCTATTTTGTAGCTCAAGTTTGCATCTCAGCCCTCCTATCGAAAGTTTGGCACAGACATTTATATTTCCCTTGAGACTCAAATATCAAAACCACAGGGAGCCACAGGAAACTAATACATTCAACCTAAGAAGCTTAAAAGATCCTAAACATGGCTTAATTTGAACTATATTTAGCTGGCATAGGCAAATTACAAGTGTGCGTCAATTCAATTGATCAGTTACATGTAAGAATAGACAAAGTTAATTTCCAAAATATGGAAGCTATTGAGTAAGATCCAGCGAAAAGATAAAAGGCAAATAATTACTCCCCACCAAGTAGTGACTGCATGCTGAGTTAGCATATGAAATTACTACTAGTATATCAGGAGTCACCTGATTTTCACACTGACGGAAACATGGCTCAGGAATGCCCCGTACAGTTGATTCTACAGATAACAGGGACACTTGCACATACTCCGTATCGAGGAAGACTGGTAATAAATCAGTACTAGCAGTACAGTAGCACTTCCTTTGTTACTCGTTTGCTCAGAATATTTGCAGAGTTTCGAAAGGGTAGGGGCAAAAGAACTCAGACAATAGATTTGGGACAGGAAAGGTGGAAGCGAATGCATACCAGTCTGACAGGAACCGCAGGGTCTTCAATAGAGAGCGTGAGTTCTTCGTTCCATTCCGGATTGGTACTCTTTTTCACCACCCGTGTCTTCAATTTCTGTGAAACGTTGAAAAATAATCACGATTCTGCGCACGCATGCGTGAAAAAAAAGGACAGACAACTTCACAGGGGAACGAACTCTAAACAGGGGAAATAAAATCCAAATAGCTGGAGTAGCATATTAGTCGTCGTCTCTACCGTAGACCGGGGATCGATTCGAACGAAATTCGACAGATCTCTTGCCGGACAAAACCCACCAGTAAAATGAAGGCAAACTTCAATCACCTGTAGAAAAGAAAAGGAGGGGAGGAGGAGGAGGAGCGGACCTGCTCGCCGATGCGAACGACGACGTAGGGATCGCTGGATCGGAGGTCGCGGATGGCGAGGTTCACCCCCCTCAGCACGCGCACCTTCACCAGCCCGACGAGATGGTCCAGCATGGTGGTCTCCCTCTCCTTCACCACCAAGTCCTCTCTCTTCCCCGCAGCCGCCGCAGGTCTTCTTGGTTGTTTGTTGTTTCTCGATGGATTTCTGTGGCTCTATTCTACCTGCCGTTGCGCTCTGGCTTCAACTTTAAGTATAATATAAGCTGCCGTTGCGCTGGGCAACAGCCTGTTCGAGTTTAGTCAACAGTATTTTCTTCCCACAGAGAAACCAACTGGGAGCATACGGACGCCGTATGCGTATTGCCGCGGTGCTCGACGCCCCGAGTCCCCAGTCCCCAGTGGATTTCTTCTTCTCCCACGGTGGGCTCCCCCGGTCTCACCCCTCCTGCTGCACAGACAGTGGGCTACCCTGGTAGGAATTCAAGAATTCCTGTGGGTGAGCAGTGAGCACTGAGCAGCGCACACTATTCGTCCGTTACGTTACGTCCTGGTCCTGGCTCTTGACCTGTTGACCGAGGAGGGTCGGCGACTTTTTGGCTAGCCCCGTTCTCCTGGCTGTTGCTGTTTGTGGCTGTGGGCTGGGTGGGTTTGATCCGGTCGCTGCACCGCGTCTATCCAGAATCCAGATGCACAAGCGGCAGGAAACGGACATCTCGTCCTGTTCATTTGGCTTATAAGTCGTATTTTTTTAGTCAATCAATAATATTTTTTTCTTACAATAAATCAGTCAACAGTACTTTTAATCATGACTTATCGTTGTGACGACGCGGTAATTTTGGACGGGAGGGACGATCGGATGGAGCCTTCCTGGCAAGTGGCACGGTGCTGGCTGGCGCCTGCCGTGGGCGTGGCCTCACGTCCGGCTTGGGGAGCTCTGAATATTCACGAGGAGGTATTATACAAGTCTTAAGGGTAGGCTCAATGGGTCGATAGTGAGGTATTATACAAGTCTTAAGGCAGCCTCAATGGGCCCATAGTGCCAAACAAAGAAGCCACGTAGGAAAAAGAATGTGGCGCCGCTTAACCTAACGAGGGCCGATAGCATGCCTTTAGAGAAAAGCGGGACCCACAAACGCATGTTCCTATATTTGTCTTCGATCTGTTGGCCTGCAACCCTGCGACAGAGCGCGGCCTGGTTGGCTGGTTCGTTTCGTTGCTGGTTCGTAAAGAAGTACTACTGGTTGGTTTATGTGAGAGAAAAATACTATTTCGATTAAAAATTTACGATCATTTACGATAAGCCACAGCCAAACGAACAGGCTGGTAGAAGCTGGCATCAGAAAGAGTAAAACAATCTGAGGATAGATGGTGCTAAAGTAAAACAATTGGATAGATCCTCTTTTGTATTCTGTGTAGATGAATTGGCAGTGACGTGGTAGGTTACAGGTAGCAAAGTGTTGCGGGTGCCCTTATGAGCCAAGCTAATAATAAAGCCTGCTGCTGCCTGTATGGATTTTTGCAGCTATTTCTCAGCCAACACATATAGTTGTTAGCTCTTCACTACTAACATATGACCTAGTTATCTCTCACAAAGTTTTTTTTTTGTTCTTATGTGGTTGTAAACTTATATCTTGCTTCTTCTCTCTCATCTCCTCTCTCCTCTACCTCAGCATACAACCACTTACAACCAATTACAGCCATTTACTATACTTGCTCTTAGCGGAGGTTGAATAGACATCATACCTATTTATTGCAGTGTTAGTCTTAGTGCTAGTTTCATCTGAATTTCATTTGTATTTAATACTTTGACACATCAAGTCAACAAGTTAATTATGAAGAGCTATTTCATATAGTTTTATCTAGATAAAACTTGTTGTCACAGTTAGAGTAAGTATAGTAAAAGGTTGTAAGTGAGATGCATGACGAGGTGAAGGAGAGATAAGATGAGAGAGAGAGAGGAGAAGCGGTTTGTAAGTTTACAGCGGGCTGAGACACAACAATCAAAAAAATTTGTGAGAGAGATAAGTGGACCATGTATTAACTATATGGGTGGACTGAGAGACTGGCTGTAAAGATCTATACAACTAGCAGCTGGCTGTATTAGTCTTTCTCTTATCAACATAAAAGCTTATGTGATAGACTTGATAACTGTGTCATGAAATTCTTCATTGAGACTAGCGTAATAAAAATGATGAGATACTCTACTATCAAAGTTAATAGGAAAGAGAGAAGACAAATTTCATATGTGAAAATTAGCTGGCACTGTTTTCTAAAAAAAAAGTGAATGACATGCATTGAGAGCTTATTGTTCCATACTTCCATCTCCATATGTTTTGGCCGATCTTATGCAGCTTGCAGTCTTGCTGTGCACCACGCCTCTCAGGTTTATCATGTGCTATAGATAATTTAGTTTACACTAATAAACATGTCTATGTGTTATGACTGGAGAAAAAATTATTAAACATTCATGAAAGACAAAAACGTAAATTGTGCATATCTATTTATGTTTTAACTTTTTCTATAAAATTTTAAATTATAATTCTTATGATGAATATGACCACCATAATATAAGTTAATGTTGGCTATAATACGATATTGTCTGGTGAAACATGTATCAAATTAAAATGCAATCATGAATCCATGATATATTTTGGGCTCTCGTGGCAAAGTATAAAAATATTTACTCATAAATACTTTATTATAACTTTATTTTTCGTACAAGTAACATGTTACAGTTAAATATCGAGTTTCTTGACTTTTTTAGGGTTAATAAAAACATGTAATTCTGATATTTGACTAAAGTTGGCAAGGAGTTAATACGTTGTTGAGGTGTTAATAATTGGTATGTTCACTCATGATTATGACATGGGACCTTTCTTGTTTTTTCACATGGTTGCTCTCATCAGGATTGCACCGATACATATGTACAACTTAAAGATACATTTATTTAGGCTAAATTAGATAATGCACTTCTTATATTTTTTTATTTCATGATTTGATTGGTTATTAGATCATAGATTGATCACAATATAATAAGAATTTACTCCTAATAAAAGTTATACTAATTATCAATAAGTTAGTGGTGGGAATCTTATTTCTTACATTATAAAAATCTTCATAGTTGCTAGGAATAGAGATTTTGGTGAAAAAATATCACCTAATAGCTTCTTTAATTGATTATCCAAATATAGATATATTCTATTCTAAATTTCTTGTTAGCTAAATATAGAAAACGAGAATTGCTCTTTAGGAGGCACACAAGATATAGAAAACCTGTTAGAGTGGTAAAGATATAGAAAGCGTTTTTTACACAAATAGCTCTCCAAATCTATCATACTAATCTATCATCATTTTTAACGCTAAGTCTACACCATATAACCTTCACACTGAGATAGCTTCCCTCCACTTGAAAAAAAATACTCCCTTCTGGTAATTCAAGTCGTTTTGTACAAGGCTTGGGCTAAATATTGAGAATATAAATCATGAATAATTTTTAAGTTATTGAGTTTGGAAATGTGAAAACCATATTAATAGTTTTGTCTTGAAAAATACTTTCATAAAAATATACATATATCATTTTTCAATAAATAATTTTTTTTTAAAAAGTCAAAGTTATGCTTTAGAGACCGCGTCGCTGTCCAAAATGATTTGAATTACCAATACGAAGGATGTACCAAAAAAAAACAATCCCGTAGAAATCAACCATCCAGATTGATTGTGAGTCTTTTCTCTCCTTACCCTCTCAAATCTGACGATCAAAATTGCCCGACCATCCAGACTGACTATGAGTCTTCTCTCTTCTTGCTCCTTCGAATCTAACAATCTGGATCGCGTGTACGGTACTCCTTAGCCCTGCCATCTCTCACGTTCGCGCCCAGACCCACGCACGCGCCCCGGGTTTGATCCCTGTTTCCTCCGTCTCGAATTCAATTTCTGCGAAAGAAAAAACCCTCCGCTCTCTTCACGTCGCTGTTTAACTGTAAAATTTTGACCGATATAAAATTGTTTTATCTGGTTGCTTGCCCCTTCATCTCTTGTGCCTTCATGATTTTTCTGGATTAGTTGCAGGTCACAAGCACGGTAAAGAAAAAAAACTGAAGACACCTAGATAACTTTTGCAGAAAGCAGCAGGAGAGAGAGAATTTCTTACCTTCGGTTAGCAGCAATCGACAGTACTTGCTTCATTGTCAGAGGTACAAATCTATGTTCACGATCTCATGGCTTTTATTTTATTCATTGTGTATGCATTTTTAGATATGTGCAACGTTCATATTTATATCAGTTAAGTTTGTCTTTAATGTGTCCCGTAGCATTAGCACGGACAATATGCTAGTGATAATTTAGAGAGTGAGATTTAGAAAGACTTTTGATGATACTCTTAAACAACAAAGGTTTTATCATATTGCATTTTTTTATGTTTGTATAAAAAAATATAAAGCATGAAAAATCATATTGGGAAGTAATCAGAAGAAAATCAGGTGGAACGAAACTAAGAAAAACATGGAAAGGAAAAAAAGAGAGGAATACTGTCGGGTTCATAAACCCGGGGTGCCTAATAAGTCCGCTTCCCAGCAAAAACTCAACCCAGTAGACGGCATTACAAACGACGCGTAACTCCTAGGCCGGCCCAGATACCTAACGACAGGCCGGAAGAACGATCCAGTCTTCGACCGGAAGGCCTAGACAAGGAGGGGACGACGCTCACTTCTGACTCCGACCCGCTTTTCCGACCGGAAGGCCTGGCCAAGGAGGGGGCGACGCTCGCTTCTGACTCCAACCCGCTTTTCCGACCGGAAGGCCTGGCCAAGGAGGGGTTGACGCTCGCTTCCGACTCTGACCCGCTTCTCCGACCGGGAATACACTGAAGCTCTGCTTACGGCTCTTCTCCGACCGGCGTGGTCGGAGCCGACTGGGAACGACCGGCTGGGGACACCCGCTCGGTGAGGACCCAAGAAATCAGGCGGAGCAGATAAGGTAAGGCGCTCAAGTCAACCGCAATACCGAGGACCGTGCCCTGCACACCTGCAAGACAGTACTGTCACACTATGCCAGAAGGGTACTTTGCAGCCTTCTAGACATGTTAGAACACCAATAGTGTTGCGGGCGTCAACATT